CGGGTTCGTTCCCCGAACGGGCCACCAAATGCCGCAGTCTGACTGGGCACAATTCAGGAGCCACTTGTCAAAAGAAACGAACTTTATTTTTAGAACTACACACCAAACCACACAGCTCCTCAGGAAAAACCTTCAGAACCCAACTGCCACTACTGGCTTCCCACAAGCCTCTCAACCTCCCCCCACTCCTCCTGCTCTTGAGGCCGATTGGCTGGGTCGTGTGGGTGGAGCCAAAAAAAGTCCCCTAATGAGCAGCTCTGTGGTCTGAAAGGGCGGGGAAACAGCCCAATGAGCATCACTGCAGAGGAGCCAATCAGTTGGCAGSTAGAAGTTGCTGGGGCCCCTTCCGCTGTGGCTCTCAACAATTATGAATAAATCTCTGTAAGTATTTGGGTACTAATTTTGAAATGAATATAAATTTTGTTTCCCTGGGATTCATGCTTAAAGTGTAGCTGTTGATTTGTGTGGTAGTTGTATGTCAGCTTTATAATAAACTACCAGACTGATTTCCAGAGTGGCTGTACTACTTTATATTCCCACCCAACATTATGAGTATACAGTTTCTCATTTTCTCACTTTTAGTGTTGCTACTATTTTTTATTTTAGTCATTCTAATAGAGATGTAGTGATATCTCAGTGTAATTTTAATTTGCATTTCATGATGGCTGATGATGTTGAACATTTTTTTTCAGTCTTTATTTTTCTTAAATACAGATCTGAATATTTAGATCTATCATTTTATATAAAATATAAAACAAGTGACATACTTTTGACAATCACTCAAATAAATGCGGAATGTGGGACATTCTTTGAGCTGTATGTTCTAATTTCTACAACTAATCAATGGCTTGGAAAAACAGTGCATGCATGTATGTGTAGGTGACCATTATAGAATATAAAAGAAACTTAAGAGAAATAATAACTACATGCAGGATATGGACCTTGTTTGGATTTTGATATGAACAAATAACCAGAAGAAAAATTATCTATAAGACAGGTGTGAAAGCTTGAATGTGTGTAGGTATTAGTAAGGAATCATTAATTTATTTAGACAGTTTAATGGCATGGTTGTTATATAAAAAGAAATTCTTATCAGGTAGAAATCCATATTGAATTATTTACATGGTAAATGACATTATGTCTAAGATTTGTTGTAAAATATTATAGCGGAGAAAGAATAAGAAAATAGAGTGGAATTCAAGAGAAAAAACAATTAACACAATGTTAATTTTTGAAAAGATAAGTGACGAATAGCCTTCAACATTGTTTAATATTCTTCCAAGTCTTTCCATGATAAAATATTTGAAAAAGTACTTAYTGAAATATTTTATACTTTAAAATAAGACATAAATAATTGAACTTTGCTGTTAAGGCATTTAGTTTTACATTGTAAAATAAACAAACTCAACCTTGGATGAAAAAAAGTCTGATTCCTCAGGACAAATAATTAAAGTTGTCTTTTTTATTCAGGCAGAAGAAAACAAGAGATTGAGGGAACTCCAGCTTGAACAAGAAGAAAAATTGGCTCTGGAATTGGCAAAATTAAAACATGAAAGTCTAAAGGAAGAAAAAATGAGACAACAAGTAAGAGAAAACAGGTATTGTGGTTTCTACTAATTCTATTTATTTAGTCTATTTACTATTAAACTTTTAAGTAATTCTTAGCACCTGAAACTGAAATTTCTTTGTTTAGATCATTGCACTTATTTAATATTTTGCCTGGAAATATTGCTTTAAATCCCAGAATATTCATTTGAGAAAATAAGTTGTATTCATAGAAGTAATTGTTGAATATTTAATAAATATCAGCCCCTTCTGTTCTTTCCCTTAAGCACAAATTTTAAAATGACTTCTTATAAAAAACAGACTTACTTATTTCTAGAATAGATTTCTTTTTTTTATTAGTTCATTTTATTCATACATAATACTAGGGTTCACTTTGACATATAACATGAAATGTAAGTCCCCAGTACTTCTCCTTTCCCTTTCTTCCTCCCTCCCCCCATCCCCTTTCTCTACTTCACTGGTCTTTCTTTTATTTATTTATGTTTTTTTTTAAATTAGTACTTTGTCGATATACATAAAGATGAGCTTCACTATCTTATTTCATATATTTCTATAGGAAATTTGGTCAGATTCATAGAATAGATTTCTTAAAGATTGTTTAAGATTAAATGACTTTTTAGGGACAGCCATGTCACCTGTTGATCAAACTTATGGCCAAGTTAATGTTCATCCTATTTCTGTATAGTTGAAYATATTGGAAATTTACTTTGATAATTGTTCCTTTTATTTCAAGGACTTCTTTGTGTATCATAGGAATCATGGATGAGCTTCAGGGATTTTGAGCCTCATTAAAATATATATTCAGTAAATATACCCATGTTGTATTTTTCTGGGTCTACAATTTTAATCATATTCTCTAAGAAATTATTAGTCCCAGGGGAGGAGGTGGGCTTAAAATTACTGCCAAAATCTATATGCTATACTAGTCTCAAACTATCTTTTTGAAGTCCCAATTCTCTAATCATTGTTAGCTATCACTTGTGGCATTATATCATTTGAAGATGCAGCAAATATATCCTCATGCCTTTGTCTAATTCACTGATAATAAGAGTTAAATAGAAGAGTTGTCCACGTCTAGCATTGCAGATTAGATGATTCAGATTTATGTTCCCTCAGAGAAAAGAGTCTGGAGAAAATGTAAAAATAAGAATCAGGAAAGGAAGGAAACCAAACTGGTGAGCCTGGCATTGGTAGCTGCATTTCTCCTGGAGGGTTCTGTTACTGAAAACATAACTGAGAGCTATGCAAAGCAGAGCTTGGCTGATAAACTCATGGCAACATGTTCAATACCATTCATAAAGTTTTATTCTTAAGTTCTTATTCCTTARTAATACAATTTAATTAGATTTTATTACATAGTCATGATGGATATCTTGTGAAAGATTAGTGTAAAATATCTAGAATAAAGCATGAAGAGATAAAAGGATAAAAAAAATACAGATAAAAACTTAAAATAAATATGGGCTATGGTGGAAAGTTCTAACACACATAATTTTCATCCTGGTTGCACAGATGAAAGACAATGATGTAGAAGCATTATTTGAAGAGATACTGGTCAAGAATTTTGCAAAAATTATACAAGACATAAAGTCTCAGTGTCAAACACACAAAATAATAAAAACTCTACCTAAACTCATCCTTGTCAAACTTTTGAAACCCAACAATATACAATAATAGTAATTTTTAAAAGGATGGGGAACGTAGCTCAGTGACAGAGCACTTGCCTAGCACACAAGAGATCCTGGATTCATTCCCCGAACTGTAAGACAACAACAAAATACATAAAAATAATAAAGCAGCCAGACAAAAAGGCTATTACCTTCAAATAAGCAATAATAAGAAATATCACTGAATTTTGAACAGAAACAGTAAAAACTAGAAGATGATTGATTTGAAGAGCTCAAAAAAATCATAGCTCATCCAGAATTTTATACTTTGTGAAAAAATCTCTTCAGAATTAAGGGCAGAGTCAGTCAGTTGGATATTCTTTGAAACTGAATATGTTCACTTAACAGTGCCAGAATTTTTATTTTTTATTTTGTGTGTGAGCCATGCTGACATTTTGACAGACATGCAGAAATAGATTATTTATTAGATTGATGTATTTATCTGCAAATTGGCAGGTCTAAATTCAGGGAACTTTTTGCTGTGGTGCTTAAAATGTATCATAAGCAATTCAGAATCACCTATATTAAAATTAGGCTCTTTATTTTTTTGAAACAAATACTTGTTTTTATTGTTAAAATTTTAACTACACTGCCTGGCCTCAGTATAGTTTTGATTTACATTTCCCAATTCATGAAGTGAATAGATTCCCTTCATTATATCTATTTTATACAATCATTTTCACCAAAGGAATTTTAAAATACATGTTTCTGAGATGCAGGAAAATATTCCCCCCTCTCATTTTTTATTGGTGCATTATAGTTCTACACACTGATGAGATTTTKGGGGGGTACAAAGGATTGGTCCCAGGGGCACCTAACCACTGAGTCACATTCCCAGCCCTTTTTATTTTTTATTTTGACACAGGATCTCACTAAGTTGTTTAGGCCCTTCCTAATTTGCTGAGACTGACTTTGAACTTGCAGTTCTCCTGAGCTGCTACCATTACAGGTGTGCACCACTACACCCAACATTTGTTGTTACATATTTGTATATGCACACAATACACAATATAACAACATAATTTGGCCAATATCACTCCCTGGCAGCTTCCCTCTTCTTCYCCACTTCCCACTCCTTGGTCCCTTTCCTTTATTGATCTCCTTTTGATTTTCATGCCTGCACCTTTTCCTTTCTCCTCTCTAGCTTCTGCATATGAGAGAAAGCATATGACCCTTAACCTTGTGAGTTTGACTTATTTCATTTAACATAATTGTCTCTAGTTCCATCCATTTTTCTGTAAATGACATAATTTCATTTTCTGTATGGCTGAATAAAACTTCATGATGTATATATGCCACATTTTCTTTATCCATTCATCTACTGTAGGACACCTGGGCTGTTTCCATGTTGTAATTGTGCTGCTATAAACTTGAGTATGCATCATTGTAGTACGATGACTTTGATTCTTCAGGATAAATACTGGGGAGTGGTATAGCTGGGTCATAAGATGAGTCTATGCATATCTTTTGAGGAACCTACATATTGATTTCCATAGTGGTTATACTAATTTACARTACAGCTGCTGGCATAATAAAATTATTTCTTTTCTTCCATATCCTCTCCAGCATTTATTATCTTCATTTTTATTATTTACATTCTTGATGACTGCCATTCTGACTGGTATGAAATGAAATCTTAGTGTAGTGTAGGGGTTTTTCTGCAGAGTCGGGGGAGTGGCACTGGTATTTAACCCAGGAGCACTTTACCATTGAGCTAYATCCCCAGCCCTTTTTAAATTTTTATTTATTTTGAGACAGGGTCTCACTAAATTGCTTAGGGCCTTGCTAAATTGCTRAGGCTGGCCTTGAACTTGTAATCCTCCTATCTCAACCTCCTGAGTCACTGGGATTACAAACGTGCACTACTATGCCTGGCCTCAGTGTAGTTTTGATTTACATTTCCCAAGTTGCTAATCATGTTGAACATTTTTTTTCATATATTTGTTGGCCACTTGTATTTCTTCTTTTGAGAAGTGACTTTTTAATTCATTTGCCCATTTATTAATTGGGTTGATTCTTTTTGGTGTAAAGTTTTTTAAGTTCTTTGTACATTCTACTCCTCTGTCAAAAGAGTAGCTAGCAAAGATTTTCTGCCATTCTGTAGGCTCTCTCTTTACAYTCCTAATTGTTTTCTGTGCTGAACAGCTTTTTAATTTGATGCTGTCCCATTTATTAACTCTTGGCATTACTACCTATTGAGAAAGTCATTGCCTGTGTCTGTATGCTACAGTGTTGACCCTATGTTTTCTTCTAGGTGTTGCATAGTTTCTGGTCTAATTCCTTGGTCTTTGACCCATTTCGAGTTGATTTTTATGTAGTGTGAGGGATAAGGGTCTAGTTTCATTCTTCTACATATTAATAACCAATTTTCCCAGCATCATTTGTTAAAAAGGTTATCTTTTCTCCAATGTATGTTTTTAGCATCTTTGTCAAGGATCAAGTGACTATAGGTGTTTGGGTTTGTCTCTGTGTATTCTATTCTGTACCATTGATCTATGTGTCTGTTTTTATGTCGGTACCATGCAGTATTTTTAATATAGCTTTTTATAAAAATCCTAGGTGTGGACTTTCTAATGAGCTTCCCTGGTAGACAGCATTTCTCATGTGTTGATACAAGTCAGTAATTTACTGAGTGAACCACGCATGTTATGTGAGACTCCACTGAGAGAGGACTTTTGGAAGCTTGCACCTGGTTTCCTCTGGATTTCACCCATGTGTCTTTTTCCTTTGCCAATTTTGCTCTGTTACCTTTCACTGGAATTCGTTATAGCAGTTGAGTAAAACTATATGCTGGGTCCTGTGTAGCCTCTTAGTGAATCATCGAACCTGGGGATGGTTGTGGAACCCCATCATAGAGGCAAAAAAGGGAGAAAAGAGAACACAGAAYGGAGGATAAGTAGAAGATACTGAGCTTGTCAACTTAAACTCAACTATATTAGTAGTTATGGTAAACATATTTGAACTATTTACCAAAATAGATGACATATTGTACCGAAATGAAAGCAACAACAAATTGTCAAAGGATTCAATTTATACATAGTATGCTCTCTGATTAAAGTGGAATTACTCTAAATATCAGAAAAAAAATATTAACAATCTTTGTAGATTAATATATTTTCAAATGTATTTCAAAATAACCTTTGGATCAAAAAATAATAAAGTTGAAATTAGAAAGTATTTAAACTGATAATGAAAATACCTCATAGTAAAAGTTGTGGGATTGGAGTGACATTAACAAAATAGCAGCATGGGCAGCTCCAAACTCCTGTCCCTCCCCACCTCTTCCCCTACCAGAAACATCAAAAAACATGGAGAAGTAGTCAGAACCAACTTTATAAAAACTCTGGATAATATCCAAAGATTTATAGCAACCAAGCAAATATTGAATCAAGAAAAAGGCACCTTAAAAATGGTAGGAAAGTTTTGTGGTACTTTTATTTGCCCCTGTTGGATCCCCTCCTAGCTCTGAGGCAGTCTTTAAGCCCATGTTCCTAGTGAGACCTTGCTCCCTGGTTTAAGGAGGGAGCAGAGCATACCTTATTTACAATTTATTGTTTATGTCTGTTCTAACTTGCCTTGAGGCTACCTGGAGGATTAACACAAAATTTTCATCTCTGTTTGACCTAACTCAGAACTCATTTAGATTGGAAGAACAATTCGTATTTCTGATAAGGATTTAATATTCAGAATATATAAAGAAAAATGATAATTCAACAACAAATACCAAACAACCCTATTCAAACAATGGCCAAAGCACTTAAATAGACATTTATATATCAGCACTTGAAAAGATATTCAACATCATTAGTCAYTAGGAAAATGCAAATTAAAGCCACAAMAAGGTGTTGTGTCACTGGTTAGGCTAGTTAAAAACAATAGAAAATAACAATTGGAACCCTCAGACATTGCTGATAGGAATGTGAGTCATCCATTAAGGAACTAATTTATTTCTAAAATAATACCAGTTGTATACTATCTTTGAGAAAATTTAAAATGTTGTCACCTAATTTTCTATGGAGCTTAATTCTCTTAAGGATCTGCAGATTTAAATTTGACTTTTTTCCCCACAGTATTGAGCTCAGAGAATTGGAGAAGAAATTAAAAGCAGCTTACATGAATAAAGAAAGAGCAGCCCAGATTGCTGAGAAGGATGCCATTAAATATGAGCAAATGGTAATGTTGTTTCTGGTCACTTTGTTTTTAGTATGATAAAGAAAACCAAAAAAGAGTCCTTTTTTTTTTTTTAATTGTTGTATTCTGTAAAGAATTTACACTGCATGATTTCCAAATACTGATATACCTTTCAGATTCTTAAGGTATCCAAAATCTTCAGTGATTTCATAGGAAACATTGTTTAACTTAATATTAGAACCTTTCAGCTGATAACTATATTTKTTGCATGTTGATTTATATTTTGATAATTTTGTATAGGAAACTTGTCTATTTTACAAAAGCAGCCCCTTTCTCAAGTTTCTATTTGTTCCCCTTTTCTAACTCCTCACATGCTACCCAGTTGAGGGCAAGGAGTATAATACAGTATAAATATAAAGTACAGTCCATAAGTTAACATAAACAGGGTATACATTATCTCTTGAGTTTGTATCATCACACAGAAAGGCCAATTATATATGAATATATGTACACATAGATGTGTATATCAACATAAATATGTTCATACACACAGWTATAGAGGTGATATCAAAATAGTTAACTAGTGCAGTATTCATTAGGAATAGATGCAGACTATAAATGGTATATATGTTTTGTGCATATATATATATTTGTAGGAATTAATATAGCATGCTATTAATAGTGAAAACCTTAGATATAGCAATAGCAGCTGGTAGGAAAATGTGAGAGGCTTCATTGCCTCTATCCTCTAYTTGAAAGGATATGCTCTGTTTGAAAGGATAAATTCTGTCCTTTCAAAATAAACTAGAACACAATGTATGATTTGTCCAGTGGTTTGTAGTTTTAATTATCCTGATAGTTGAGGTTATTCAAGACCATTATAGATATTCTAATCTGATTTCTAAACGAATTGCTGCTATTTTCTAAGTCAAAATTGATCCACAAAATTGAAACCAAATACTCCTAGGACTTGACTTAACTAGGTGTCAGATATCTAGGTACTAGTATTTGGCTCTGTCTCTCTGAGCTTATGTTTTCTCATCTGTAAAATAAGAACAGTATATTTCTATAAGTATGTTTTAATCTGTACATAAAAGTTTTTTTAAAGAATTTAGTCAACATGTACAAAGAAAAGTGCAAGGAAATTTTGGTTAAGATACATTAACAGGGTACATGTTATAAGCATTAATTATATAACGAATGACATTTATCAYTCATATTTTAATCTGCTTTTTATATTTGATGCTGTTAAAGCTATGATGTGGACCACGTGCCTTGGTGCATGCCTGTAATCCCATCGGCTTGAGAGGCGGAGGAAGCAGATTGTGAGTTCAAAGCCAGCCTTAGCAATTTAGCAAGGCGCTAAGCAACTCAGTGAGATCCTTTCTCTAATAAAATACAGATGGGGGTAGGGATGGGCTCAGTGGTCGAGTGCCCCTGAATTCAATCCCTGATACCCCCCCACACACCCAAAAATGTTAGGATGTGATCATAAAGGCAAACATTAATTTTAAAAAATGCTCCATTATATTTAATTTAAACATATTTTGTTAAATGATTTGAAATTGCTCAAAAGAATTAAGGGATTTAATCCATCCAAGAAAAGGATTGTCTCTAACTCAGTACAAAGTGAGTGTATTAAAACTGCAGAAAACAGGCACAGTAGCATATATGACCCTTTCAAGTAAAAGAGATTACAAAGGGCCTTTAATACACGAGAAAGAAAAAACTCAAGGGCTCATGGTAGGAAAGAAAGCTTCAACTAGGAGAAACTTAATAGCTGCTCAGAATCATTTAATAGCAGACCTGTATGAAAATGGCAGTACCATCTTGATTCYAAATAGCAACTGATACAAAAGAAAAAAGATCACTACTGCTTTCRTAGTTTAAAATGGTTACTAATAAAGTACTCATAATTTTTCTTACTGTTTTTCTGGTACAGACTTATTGATTATCCTTATCAGGTATTACCCAAGCATCTCATCATTCAGACCCTTTAGGTCACAATGACTTACTTTTGACTTTTTTACCTAGACAGCTGAAAAAATTTATTTTATGTAACAGGCTTTATAATGTTCAGTTACATTTATTTAAAGTATTTTATCATACTGGGTTCAGATTTGAAAAGAGAAAGATAAAGTTTGTTTTAATATCAGAAACGTGATGCTGAAATAGCCAAGACCATGATGGAAGAACACGAGAGAATGATGAAGGAAGAGCATGCTGCCGAAGACAGAAAAAACAAAGTTAAAGCGCTGTACTGTCTTGACTTGGAGAAACAACTGGAAGAACAAGAGAGAAAAAAGCAGGAAGCTTATGGGCTCTTGCTGAAAGAGAAACTCATGATTGATGAAATTGTTAGAAAAATCTATGAAGAAGATCAAATGTAAGTTTGTCATGGAAACTTAAAATTCTTAATGCCTGAATGTTTACTTCGGATTTGTCATAGGTTTGTTGTGAAGAGGTGAAGCACATATAACAGTGTGAATACATAGTAAATGCTCAATAAATATTAGTTATGATCACAAAAATTGAGACCAGCTCTTCTTTATCTTTGTCAACATGATTGTTAATAAGTATCTCATATTTAATAAATGCTTATTTACTGACTGAGTGACCTAAATCTTTGTTTCTTAAATATATCCATACCATATGTTATGGGACATATTTTCTGATAAATTTCCTTAGTAGACAGCTTAAGAGTAGACTACAAGACTCACGTTAACAGGTCATAGCCTCTCTGAAATGAGATGCATAAAACTCCATTAGTAGGTTAAAAGAGAAGTACAGTAGTATTTTATCCAGAGAAAATTTGTACAAACTGTAAATAGGGAAGTTGTTTCCCTGCACATTATTATTAACAGAAGGAACTTTTTATTTTTTTATATTATTTCTTTTACTATAAAACTATATCTGCTATTGCTCTTTAGGGAAAGACAACAAAAATTAGAAAAAATGAATGCAACTAGAAAATATATTGAGGAGTTTCAGAAAGAGCAGACTATCTGGAGAAACAAGAAACGTGAGGAGATGGAAGAAGAAAACAGAAAAATCATAGAGTTTGCCAACATGCAGCAGCAAAGAGAAGAACATAGGATGGCAAAAGTTCAGGAAAATGAGGAAAAAAGGCTGCAGCTTCAGAATGCGGTATTAAAATAACCACTTCTCTGACACTGGTGAATTTATGAAATAATTAGGTATTGAATTTGGATCCTGTAAATATATATATATTTTAATTTAATAGCTGACTCAGAAATTGGCAGAAATGCTGCGGCAACGTGAAGACCTGGAACAAGTACGACAGGAATTATACCAGGAAGAACAAGCTGAAATGTACAGGAGGCAACTAAGAGTAAGTTTCAGATATTAAAAGAATTATTAATAGAAGACTATAATATTGAGATGAAGCAGTAGAATGAGTAAATTTAAACCCAACCTATCCATAATCGCACTCTAGGTAAATGGTGTAAACAATGCAGTTAAGACATTTTCAAGTTGAATAAAAAAGCTGCACTCAGAGAACAGTTCATAGACTGTATCATAAAAAGTGTAATGTAACTGTGTTGTCTGTAATCAGCAAATTTAAGTATGAAGACAACATGTAGTTTAAAGCAAAAAGAGAGATACATACTACATAGACCCTAGTCAATTAAAAGCAAGTTGGAGTGCCTATTTTAATATAAGACCAAGTCAACTTCAGAACAAGGATTTTTGTAAGATTAATGTAGTGGGTATAATAGTTCTAAAGGCATATGAACCTAACTAGCAAACCTTCATAATACATGAAGCAAAACTGACAGGTTTGAAAAGAGAAATAGACAAATTCACAATCAAGAGTTAAAGATTTTAATATTCCTTTCTTACTAATATATAGACTAAGTGATCTGAATCACAGGATACAGTGCTGAGCAACAATGTCAGCAAACCTGACCTAACTGATATTCAGAGAATACTCCACCCAACAACAGCAGGATACAAATTCCATTCAAGTACACATAGAACATTCACCAAGACAGATCATATTCTAGGACATAAGTAACTCTCAATAAATTCGCAGGGTTTTAAAACATACCAAGTATGTTTTCTGACTACAGTGTAATTAGGAATCAATATTGAAAATATACATGTAAAATCCTTAAAAATATTTTAAATAAACAATGCACTTCTAAATAAGCAGTGAGCACAGGAAGAAGTCATAGTGGAAATTAGATTTTTCAAATTTATGATAAAAGAAGAGTATACCAAAATATGTGYGAAGCAGCTAAAGCAGTACTTAATGGGGAGTTCATGTGTTTTAATAAATATGTTAGAAAATAACAATAATGAAAAATTAATGATCCTAAGTCTACACAAAAATTTGTATATTAATGTTCATAGCAGCACCATTCATAATGACTAAAAGTGAAAATAACCTAATGAACTCATAAGCAAAACATATCCATGTAGTAGAATATTATTCAATGATAAAGAAATGAAGTGCTGATATGTGCTAAAGTATTGATGAACCTTTTAATTTTTTCTTAATTTTAAAAAGTACCTCAGGAATGTTATATAAATGGGAAGAAATAAATATGTAACCTTTTGAGAGTGGCTCTTTTTTGCTGAGCATAATTTCCTGGAGATTCATTCATGTTACCCTTTATCAATACTTTGTTCTTTTTATTATTGAGTAGTATGTCTTTGATATGCATGTACCAGTTCATTTGATACTTCATCCATGTATCAAATGAACTGGTATATTTGGCATCTGGAATATCTCCAAATTTGGGCTCTTACAAATACAATACACCTGCTATAAACATTCAGGTATAGATTTCTGTATAAACATAAATTTTCATTTCTCCTGAGATAAATGCTCAAGAGTACATTAGCTGGGTTTTGAGATAACTCTTGTTAGTTTTGTAACTGCCAAACTGTTTTCCAAAATAGCCATATCATTTAACACTCTGACCAGCAATGCATGAGTGATGCAATTTCTCTGCATTCTTGCCAACATTTGGTGTTTTCACTATTTTTAAWTTTTAGTCATTTTAATAGCTACGTAGTGATATCTTATTGTAGTGATATCTTATTTTAGATATCTTATTGTAGCATCTCCCTGATGTCTAATGATGCCAACATCTTTGCATATGCTTACTTACCATCTTTTTCAGTGAAATATTTCTTCATGTCTGCTGATTTTCTAATTGAGGTGTTTGTTCATTTATAGAGTTTAGAGAGTTCTTTTTGTATTCTAAATACAAGTCCTTTGTCAAGTAGGAGGTTTACAGATATTTCCTCCTGGTCTTTAACTGTCTTGTCATCTTCCTAACAGTCTTTCTCAGGCCAAATGTTTCAATTTCTATAAAGTCCAGTTTGTCAATTTTTCCTCTATGAGTCATGAGTTTTTGGTGTCAATTCTTTGTCTAGATTCTGAAGAATTTATTTTTTCCTAAAAGTTTTTTATTTGCACTTTTATTTTTTAAATTTGTGATTTTCAGTTAATGTTTTTTACAAGGTATGAGACATAGATTGAAGTATAGTTTTTGCCATTGGATGTCCAGTTGTTCCACACTATTTATTGGAATGACTCTCTCTCTAACACTTGAGCTGCTTTTGCACCTTTGTTAAAATACAATTGAGCTTTTTGGATGAGTCTAAATCCTGAGACCTCTTATTTTGTTCTCTTCACCAATACCACCCAGTTTTGATTACTYTAGCTGAATAGTAGTTCTTCAGAATTGTTTTAACTATCCTAGTTCCTTTACCTTTCTGTATAAATTTTGGAATAAACTTGTCTCTGTCTGCAAATTACCTTGCTGCAATTTTGGTAGAAATCGCATTAAGTCTGAATATCAACTTAGGGAGAATTAACATGTTCTATCTTCTAATACATGAGTACAACATAACTCCCTTTATTTAGATCTCTGTATTTTTTCATCAGTGTTTAAATAGTTTTCAGCATACAAATCCCATTTTAGTGTCCATGTATTCATTGCTAGTGAGTTGATTTTTTTAATGTTGATCTTGTATCTTACAATCTTGCTAAATTGACTTATTATCTGTGTCTTCTATGAATAGAGACAATTTATTTTCTTCCTTTGTAATCTGTATACCTTTGATTCCTTTTTTTTCCCCCTTATGCATTGGCTAATACTTCCAGCATCATTTGCTAGCATTATGTTGCATAATAGTGTTGCCCATCTTAGGGGGAATGCATTCAGTCTTGCACCGTAAAGTGTAATGTTAATTGTAGAGTTGTCACAGATGCWCTTAGGGTCATATGCTTTTTCTTCTTTAGTCTCGAGAACTACATCGATTGATTGTTGAGTACCAACAATTTATTCCAGCCTTGTATCCCTGGAATAAATCCCACTTGATCATGGTGAATACTTATTTTAAATGACTGAATTCTATTTTATAAACCATGTTAAGGATTTTTGCAGCCATGTTTGTGAGGAATATCAGTTTGTAGTTTTTGTTTTTTATACTGACTTCAAGGTGATTCAGCTTCATAAATGAATGGGGAAATGTTTCTTCCTCTTCTATTTCTGGAAGAGATTATAAGGAATTTGTATTAATTTTAATTTGTTAAATGCTTATAGAATTTTCCTTTGAAACCATATTGGCTTGGATTTTTATTCTGAGGGAGTTTTAACTGATTAATTCAAACTCCTTGATAGTTACAGAGCTATTCAAATTATCTTCAATATTTGGTGAGATTTGGTAGCTTGTGTTTCTTAAGAAAGTGATCCATTTTTTTCTAAGTTGCCAAATTTATGTGTGTAGAATTGTTTGTAGTATTCCCTTATTATCTTTTGATGTCTGTAGGTCTCTACTGATATCCTATGTTTCATTCCCGATACTGGTCATTTATTTATATATTTATTTTTGGTTAACTTTATTAAAGGTCTTTCAGCTTAACTGATTTTTTTTTTAAAAACCAGCCTTTTGTTTCGTAAATTATAATCTTTTCGTTTCCTAATTTTAAATCCATTAGATTCCAGGTCATATCTTTATTATTTTCTTTCTCTTGCTTTCAGTTTACTTTACTTCTCTTTTTATAGGTTCTAGAGGTAGAAGCTGAGATTATTTTAGACTTTTCTCACATGCATGCAATTGGTGTTACACAGGTTTACTATCTTTTATTGCTTTCGGAGTGTTCCATATTTTGGAGTGTTTGGATTTGGGAATATGTTTATGGACTTCACTGGTTGAGCATCCTTAATCTAAAAACCCTAAGTCAGAAATTCTCTAAAATCCAAATCTTTTTTTTTTTTTTAAAGAGAGAGTGAGTGAGAGAGAGAGAGAGAGAGAGAGAGAGAATTTTTAATATTTATTTTTTAGTTCTCGGCGGACACAACATCTTTGTTGGTATGTGGTGCTGAGGATCGAACCCGGGCCGCCCGAGCCACATCCCCAGCCCTAAAATCCAAATCTTGACATGCCAGCATGATGCTGTAAAAGCTTTGGATTTTGGATATTGAATTTTTTGGATTAGGGATACTGAATCTGCATATGCATTTTCCTAAATGTGTGTGCGTATTTGGTGCTATAAATGTCTCTCAGTCCTTATTTAGTTGCATCTCACAAATTTTGCCACATCTTATTTTCATTAACTAAAATTTACTGATTTTTTTCTTTCTTTCTTCCTTCTCGGTACTGGGGATTGGACCCAGGGTTGCTTAACTACTGAGCCATATCCCCAGTCCTTTTTTATATTTTTATTTGAGACAGGGCCTTGCTAAGTTGTTAAGGCTGGCTATGAACTTTCGATCCTCCTTCCCCATCCTCCCAAACCGCTGGGATTACAGGTGTGCACCACTATACTTGGCTCTGATTTTTCTTAAGACTTCTTTCTTGATTCATAAATTATGGAGAATTATGCTGCCTAATTTCCAAATATCCAGATATTTTTCCTGCTATCTTTTTAGTTACTGATTTCTGGTTTGATTCCACTGTGGTCAGAGAACACACTCAGTTTGATCTCGATTTCATTAAATTTGTTCTGGGGCACTAGAGTGCATATTCTGCTCTTGTTGATTATATCGTTTATACATGTTGGTTAGGTACTACTTGGTGATAAGGTGTTGACTCTTTCTCATCCCTACTGATTTTCTGTGTTGGTTGTTCTGTCAAGTGTTAAGAGAGGGTTTATTGATGTCTCTAACATATTGTGAATTTGTGTATTTCGCCTTTCAGTTATATCAGTATTTTTTAAACTAAGGTATAATTCACATGACATAAAATTTACCAGTTTAGCTATTTTAAATAAAAGTGTATAATTCAAGAGGCATTTAGAATGTTCACAATGTTGTGAAACTATCACCTCTAATTCCTAAACATCTTCATTACCTGAGAAAGATATTTGTGTGCATTCTCTTCTACCCTAGCCCCTGACAACCACTTGTCTACTTTGTGTCTTTATAGACTTTACTACTAGTTATTTCATGTAAATGTGACCTTTAATGCTCAGCTTTTTTCTTTTAGCATATTTTTTTTTTCTTGTGCTGAAGATTGAACCCAGAACCTTGCAAATGCTGGGTACTCTGCCACTGAGCTGCATCCTCAGTTCTAACATTAYGGTTTTTAAAGGTCATTCATGTATCAGTAATTCATTCCTTTTTTGACTAAATAATATGCATTATATGAACATACCACATTTTGTGTATCTATTCAACAGTTGATTTTTTTGTTTCTACCTTCTGACATTTTTGAATATTGCTACTATGAATATTTGTATACAAGTTTTTGTTAGAACGCCTTTAAAAATTATTTTGGGTATATTTATAGAAGTGGAATTGCTAGGCCATTTTGTGTGTTTGGGTGGGGGGTCTGGAGACTGAACCCAGGGCCTCAGGCATGCTAGGAAAGTGCTCTATTGCTGAGCTATCTACCTCAGCCCCAGTATGGTAATTTTTTTATGAACTGCCTAACTTTGCTTTTTACAAAGGCTGTACCATTTTACATTCTCATGCTAATAATGTCTGAGGGTTCCAATKTCTCCACATTTTTACCAACTCCTGTTATTTTATTTTTTAGTATATTAACTCAAAATGGGACTCAGATATGAACTAAAAAGCTAGAACTATATAATTTACAGAAGCAAACACAAGAAGGTCTTCATGAAATTGGGAATGGCATTTGTTGATAGGTTAAAAAAAGGCATGTCTTTTAAAGRAAAATTTAGAGATTGGGCTTTTTCACCATTAATAACTTCCTAACATTTCTAGGAAAATAAAATGCAAACCACAATCTGGGATAAAATATTTCCTATATTTCAATCTTGCAGAAAACCTTTATGTAAGTTGTAAAGAACACTTTACTGTATGTATACTGAAGTCTTTAAAGATTCCAATCTTTAAGGAAGCAAAAAGATTTTAACATATTCTTCACAAAACAAGATATATGCATGTAATAAATTGTAACTAGTACTATTGTTTTGTATAATAATTTTCAGCTTTATCAAAACAAATTGTTSTTTTAGATACACTGTTTCATTAGTGAGGAGGAAATCGCTACATACATGTATTGATATAAAAATACATTGCATGTATATTCTTGATTAACAACATAAGATTGTAAAAAATATGTATAGACCCTTTTAGAATATCTTAATGTAATTCACATACATAAGATCAAACTGTGCAGAAAAGTTAATAAAATGATAAATGAAGGCATATCAGGTATTTATGAACAAATAGGAAGCAGATAGATTCAGGGTTATCACCAGATAAACTAGAACATCAAACAAATCCTAAGTATTACAGATAAAAAAGATAATTGATACTGAAGGTGTAATAAAAGAAACATCTAATCTTCCATGTAGCATTGCCTTGAAATACATAAKTTTTAAAGCTATTAGAAATCTAAAGGAAATTTACCAGCATAATGCAAGGGAAATGCGAGAAATTAGTAAGAAATATTTTAATCAACTAACTAAATATTCAAAAACATCTTTCTCGGTTATTGATTGAAGAGAAAAACTGCAACTATTTAGAGGATGCTATTTCTACATATCAAAATATATAAGATTTTATAATACTGATACCTGTGGCAATTAGTGAGAAGTTTCGTGGAAAAAAAATAGTGAACTTAGAAAAATGATACAAATTCAAGTATTAGAGCGAGAATGTATAAGGAAATAAAGATTACAAGTGGAAATTAACTAAGATTAGGAAAACACACTACCATCAATTAATCCAGTTGCTTACTATTAGGGAAAAACAAAGACATTTTATCAAAAAGAACATAAGAAAAAAAAAGTCCAAGTAGATTTAGAAAGGATAAGTGGTCTATCAAAGGAAATATAGAGACGATCAGGGGAAAAAGAGGTTACTTATTCAATTATATATTAATGTGGAAATCTAAACTAGCCGATTTTCCAAATATTGTATGATCAGGCAAAATATTATGACAGCTATCTCCTGCCTCCAGTACTTTTGTGCCTTGCCTCATGTCCTCTCAGTCCCACCTCTGATTTCAGTGACAGCTATGGAGAACTTTTATGAAAGCTTAGACTGACTTGGTGCTGACAGTTTCTGGGAGCAGAAAGTTAACATCCACATACTCCTCACAAGGTCCTGTCAGGACTGAGCCTCAGTTGTCCACCATGGTCACCAGCTCAGCGATGTAACATTGTGTGTTAGCTTTTCTTCCTTTCCCGTTTTGCTCTGCTTGTCCCTCACTGCTGTTTACTGGCATTATCTCCCCCAGTAAAATATCTAGTCTTTGTAGGAGAATCCAGACTAGGAGATCTCATGAAAGTTCCCAGAATCAAAGTAGTTTTATAGCAAATTATTTCAAAGTTTCAATGAACAGCTGTTTCTAAAACCACAGAATGGAAAATCATGCAGTTCATGGTATATAATTAGAATAATACTGATCTAGACTTATCAAAGAGTACAGGAACACTCTACATTGGAAATATTTTATTTTTGCCAAACATTTACCTGTTTTTTAGCTAGATGTATTCACTATTGAATTGAACTAAAATTTTGTATGGGAGATGGATTTCAGGAAATATCAACTATATTACTATATTAACTTTGGTATATATTACATTTCTGTATGCAGAGTGTTGTGATAAACTCTAGAGGAATTCCAAACCAAATGAGACAGTAACTCTGCCCTCAATGAGCCTTCTACATAATACATAGCAAAACACAAAATATATATTATAGAAACATTTATGCAGCCAGCATCCCAATGAAAAACAAAATATGTCCTCTAGGAAATTATTTTCACTGAGGACATATGACATATTATATACATAATATACAATTAGATGATAAATTGATGTTTTTTAATTAAGAGGCCAGAAAGGAAGATGAATATTAGACTGGAGAAAACTTTATAGACAGAGTAGGACTTCAAGGTACATAATGAAGAAGGGATAAAGAAGAGATGAATACTCAATGTAGCTATATATAGGGAACAGTGTTGATAAAGCTGATGTTCACTTACTCTACCCACCCTTTTTGGAAACAGTTGTTTTACTATATTATAAAAACTAAAAAGTAAAAACGACTCTTCTTTTAGTTAAGGTCTTCATATGACCTAGATTATCTCCCACACTTGTCTCCCTCCTTTTAAGGTGTGAAGATACAAGTGAGCAAAATGAGATAACAGCCACACCACAGGAAGAGCAGATCATTTGGGGGCAGTTTTGACAGCATTGTCATGGGGAAACATTGGTTTTCTGGTCCTTCCAGAAGTCCTGTATGCAACACAATGACCTGTAGTAAATCTTTTATGGTCCCTGTTATCTGTAAGAACCCTCACCAATACAGGTGTTAAGACAGTTATTTTAGATGCATTGAGGATATTGGCTTACATGGAGCTTGTGCTAGAATTGGGCAAAGTTGGTTAGATTTTTWAAAAAGGAATTATAACTTTATATATATGTAAATTATAACTTTATATATAATATATATGTATACATATAATTTTTTATAATAGTCCTAATTGAATAGACAGATGATAAAGCAAGACTAGTAAAACATAATTAGAATTTAGGTATTAGATATGGATGATTACTGTAAAATTCTTTAAATTTTTTGGTGTGTTTGAAATTTTTCATCAGTGTTTGGAAAATAAAACTTGGAGGAAAAGAGTTTTGCTGCTTCAAGTGAATTTTAATTTCCCTGAAAATTGTCTAATTGTCATTGTTAGATTATTGTTTTTAAATTTTAAAGAATTTTGAGAATGAAAGAGTATTAGAAGACTAAAGTTGGATAAATGCAGCTTTGATAAACAGGAAGTTGGAAACTGAAAAATACTTAGTGGTTTGGACAGCTGTTTCCGGCAAGTTTCTAGAATGATTCATAGTTGGTGCACATTTCAGAGACCACAGATTAATAGTCAGGTGTGCAAAATTAACTCTTTTCAAAGTGTTATATGTTAATTATGAGTATAGAACCAAGATCAGAAATATATACAGTAATAGAAGGCTATCCAAAGGAACATGTCCTTTATCCAAATAGTTTTAAATGGTGGGGCAAAGTGTCATAAAAAGGCATAATTTTTTTTAGTTTTTCATAATTGATTTCATATTGTAATATTAAGCTCAGCCAATTGTCTCACTCTTTGTAAATTGGATTTAAGAAAATGATTACTAAATTAACTTATCTACATTATTTAGGAAAAAGTAGAAGAGAAATTGAGAAAGCAGAGAGAGTTGAAGCAAGATTTTGAAGAACAAATGGCTTTGAAGGAATTAGTATTACAGGCTGCAAAAGAAGAAGAGGAGGCTTTTAGAAAAACAATGCTAGCTAAACTTGCTGAGGATGACCGAATAGAATTAATGAATGCTCAGAAACAAAGAATGAAGCAACTGGAACATAGAAGGGCTGTGGAAAAACTTATTGAAGAACGTCGAAACCAGTTTCTTGCAGACAAGGTAAGAATAAAAGGTTTTTTTGTTGGCACTGAACAGCAATCAACTTATCTGTTCATCCACTAAACATTTACTGAGACCTTTTTATATGCCAGTGTTAGATATCTGTTTATCAATCAWACGATATATTTTCTGACCAAGCATTTATTAAGGAATCAAGAAATTATTTATTGGTGTTTTGTATGTGCTAAATACGGCTTGGTGTTGAGAACATAAAGGTAAATACAGCTAAGTCTATGTCATCTGTGAATTTATGGTCTTGGTGGAGAGAACAATACAAAAACTAATTATAAAGATATGTCACATGCATGTACTGTTATATAGATATGCATGGTGTTGATGGCAGAGTAGAGCTGACAGGGCATGAGTACCTGGAACACTGTGTTAAGAAGCTGGACCTTTACCAGTGAGAGTCACTGAACGAGGAGAACTGGGAGGTCAGACAAGTGTCCCAGGGTCAGAACCCCTGCAGGCGGTCCTGAGAGGGCCACAGGTAAAGCTGTGAAAAGGAAGGTATTTTGGTCACAGCAAMAAAAGCCTAACACACCTTGGAATCATTCCTAGATTTTCCCTCTTACTCAATTAATGATTTTTAGTTGGTTACCAAATTGTACTGATTCTACCTCAGCAATTACTCTGAAATCTAGTTCATTTGTAACTTTGTTCAGACATTCAGTAGCATTCCCATAGACTAACTGAAATTGTCTTCTAACTGGTCACTTTGTAACACTAGTCTGTCTGCCATATGTTACCAGGGTTTTAAAAGATCTCATCATGTCCCTCTCCTGCTTAAACTTCAGTGGACTCTTATAGGGTAAAAATCTCAATTTCTTAGCCTTGATATAAACCAGTCATGATTTAACTCTATACATTAAGGGAGATGATTATTTATAAAGTACCTAGCAGTGTGCTTGATGTGTGATAAATACTTAATGTTGTATTAATGAATGTGATCAACCATGTTAGGAAGCACAGTAATTAAGAAGACAGAAAGTTAAAAGATTTTGGGAATTCCCTTAAGGCTTTGAATCTTGCTTATAAAAAAGTAGAACCAGTGACTGACTGTCCTCTCTCATGGCTTGGAGAGATAGTCAGCAAGACAGCTACAAATGGCAATGAAATAAAACCACCTCAACATACCTTATAWACAATCAGAGACATGATAAATTGTAGTATAAAGGTGTATTAAGAATTGTAATGCAAAAAAATAATAATAATAAATTTTTTGAGGCAGAAGATGGAAAAAAAGAAAGAAAACCACCTAATGCATAAATTGTAAATTTTAAAATTTATGTCTTAATTTTTTAAAAAAATCATGGACAGCCCCAGTATGAGGCTGTGGACTTAGCTTTAAGTGTCAGGAGGATTGGGCCATGTTTTGTTTTGGCCTCAGGCAACAAAAAAATCATCATTCCATTAGACTTACACTGCTAAGCGTGAGGTTCTGATCCTGCTTTTTAAGAGTTCAGAACKGTTCCTAGCTAGTGTTTACCTCTAAAGAGTTTTGTAAGTAGACAAAATCTGAAACTCCCCATAATTTCCTACYAAGAGAGCTATTCAGAATTTCTCTTATATGGGTAAATAGGTTTCATGCTATCTAAGTCATTTACACTATTTACCAGAATTTTTTTTAGGATATACACTTACTGTGACCAGTGTCCAAGGAAGGAAATTGCTATATTTTACCTGAGATACTCTGCATTATTGGACAAAAATCTAAGTGTGCTTTCCCCCAATATTACAGAAGTTTCTTACATCGCCCCTTTATTAAGAATGTCACAATTAGGATTAGAAATTGAGTCTCATTAACGGTAGATGAGTGGTTAGTTTATTGTTCTCTCATATGAAAATCTACAGGAAGGCAATCCAGGCCTGAAATGGAGGTGTGTTCCCTGGTCTTCAGGGACTCAGACTCCTTCCAGCTTTTCACTCCGGCATCTGTGGGTGTAGCCCATAGATGTGTATGATCTCACCCCGTGTGTATGATCTCAGCTAGATCTTTAGCCTTTGTATCCATGTTTCAAGCAGAGATAGTGATAAAAGGTGGAAGCTCCATATGAAGGTCACTTACATTCCACTGACTTTGTGGCCACAGCTGGCTATAAAGAAGCCTTAGAATTGTAACTCAAAAAATAAAAATCAGGTACACAATTTCATGGCAGATTCCAATACCCTATTTTATCTTAGAGACAAATTAATTAAGAGCAACTCAACCTTTGATTCAGTAGCAAGAATAATCAGTGAGTGAGAGTGTAAGTTTTTTCTCAGTTGAACATAAATGTTTTCTTATTCTGTAAAAAATAAAAATTTATCCAATATAGTAGATACAAATATTTTGAGAAGCAGTTCCAGTTTTCAGTGGCATTGGATTGGCTGTGTACCAGCATTCTTTTTTATATTTATCCAGTAACTTAAGATGAGTTATTAGCTTATATAGAAGTTTGTTTTCACATACTCCGTTATGGTTTATATATCTTTGATGAGGAGTAGACTGAATAAGTAGTGACCTCAGTGTATTATTTCAAGGGAGAATTTAGCATTACTCTCAAGCAATTCCTGGTAGAGATGCATCACTATTTCAATGATCTGCATTTTGTATCCTTCCCTATCCAATAGGCACATTTGGATACAGTTCCATGAGTCCCTAATTAAGACCTCAAACTTTGACCTRCAGTCATAACATTTGCACTACATGGCACAGAATTTTAATGTGATTGAGTGTTAAGAGTTTTTCCTGAGAAATGCTGGTTCTTCTGCTGGAATTCTTGCTGTTTCTCCTGTGCTTCATATGGACTTTGAAAAAATTTGATGTATATAAGAAAATATTTATCCTTTAAATAACTCTGTTTTATTTACTAATTGTTTTTGTCTTACACAGTAAACTGTCTTTACACTGTTTATTAGGAAATCATTCCTTTAATACTTGGTATTGACATTTTGCTATATATACTTGTTTCCTTAAAAAATTGTAGTCATACCTATTATTCTTGTAACTTTAAAAAATGAAAAAAGTTATGTGTGTACATATAAAATAKTATGAGATATTATGCACTAATATCTTTTGAACTTATTGTCACAAATAATTCATTAATTTTATCACCTAATTCACTGAAAGAATAGTTTTATTTGAAAACTTTTAAAAAAGATTAACATATTCCATGACCATTAGTAAAACCTGATTTGCATTTCCAGCAACGTGAGCTGGAAGAATGGCAGTTACAGCAAAGAAGACAAGGTTGTATTAACAATATTATTGAGGAAGAAAGGCTAAAACTTCTCAAAGAACATGCTACAAAATTATTAGGATATCTCCCTAAGGTAAGTGAGATTTAGCTCAAGGTATAATCTTCGTGGCCTCAAATAGTGGAAAAAATGTGATATTAGAATATCAGAAAATGAAGTTGTCACACATATCTTGCTCTGTTATAAAGCATTAGTGGAACTTTGGCCAGGCATTGAATAATCATAATCACCGGGATCATATTTAAACATCTCTAAAATGAGASAGTTGGTCTTGGCACATTGAGCTATGAGATTATTTATTGAATTTAGATTTTAGGTTCTTTTCTCCCTTTTCAGCATCAGAGATCTAGAAATAAACCACCCTAAAGCAACCACAATACTTTATGTACCAAAGATAATAAATTATGTGAAAACATTGTAATTGGTAACACAGTGACAGGCCTATGCTTGAACTGAGTTTGAGACAGATCTTTTCTATATTAGGAGGTTATGTTATAACTAGGTCTAGGTAACTTTAATTTTTAAAAGTAATTCCAAAAGATCATAAATTTTCATAGATAGCTCATAAAATAATGAGTTTCATAGGTCACCTCAACATCTAGACTCATATAATTAAAATCACCATCCTTCAAATATATAAATCTATCTTTTGATTTTTTACTAATGTCATAGAATCAAATGCATCTTTAATGTTCAGTCCAAAACTAAGAAAGAAGAAACATAAATATATGAGTAATTATTGCCTGGCTTCAGGACCTTATAGTCTAATTGTTTAGAATTAATGAAATTAGTTATGTTTATTATTCTCAATGGACTTATTAATGAAAAATCTATGTAATTGATAAATTTCATAAAATAGTTATAAATTCTAGGAGAGTAACTGGGTGTCACTATTTTTTGTGGGGAGAATAATTGTGGAGGCAGGAGAATGATCTAATAATCCTGATCACCCAAAAATGACCTTTATTCTTTGTCCTAATGGCCCCAAATGACCTAAATGATTGTTTTAATCATTTGGAAAATACTGATTTAARTTTCATAAATTTTATTGAATAGATTTCATTGTTTTAGATAACTAACCTCTTCCTTTAGAATGCAAGGTAAATATTTCAGTTTAACTTTGTTTTAAAGAGGCTTTTGCTGTTTTTTATAGGGGAAAAGAAAAATAAATAGAAGTATGAAGAATTTCAAAGGGCTTGCTTAAATGACTTAACTCCAAATCTGGATTCTTTCCTGACAGATAGAATGTTCACTGATTAGCCATAGAAGAGAGGCATGAAGAACTGATTCCATGTATGAGTCTAGTAGAGCTTAGTCTCTTCACCTGTAATYTCCATCTTATTATAGAACTGTTTTAGACAAGAGTAGGGTACAATATAAATTCCTTTCCTTCCAGGCAATTGTAATTATAAAGTGGAAGATCCCAGATTCCTATCACAAGTTCCTGCTCTGGATCTGATAAGTCAGGAAATTAGGTCTAAGAATACTTATAATGTAAAGTCATATTTTTGGAAAATATTGATTTAAGTTTCATRAATTTATTGAATAGATTTCATTGTTTTGGATAACTTTACTAAACTCATGTCTGTGTATTTGTTAGTCTTAAAGCATTTAGTGCAATATTCTGGCATTCAAAACGTAACACAAAATATTTTTCTTATAGGGAATATTTAAAAAAGAGGATGATATTGATATGCTTGGTGAAGAGTTTAGGAAAGCATATCAGAAAAGGAAGGAAATTTGTGAAGAAAAGTGATACCATCAAACTTGGTAAAATCTGGATTTTTCTGTACATTACCACTAGATGTCAGCGTAACTATTGTTTTAGAGTAGGAATGTTTTCTTGCATTTTCTATCACTGTATTTCATAATTTATAAACAAGTGTCAGATGAATATTTTAACTGAAAATTTATTTTACATATATGCATGCATATGTGCTCCTAGGCTTCAAACCTAGGAGGCTAGCTTCTCAGTACCTGTCCTACTGTTCAGAGATTTTTTTTTTTTTTTTTTGCATCCCATCTTCTAGACGGTCTATTTACCTTAGTTTATACCAAGTTCTAGGTTCTAGTGAACTGCCTCCATCTCTAGTTATGTTTAGCAACTTTACTAATTTGGTTTGGCCAGGGAAATGCATATTTAGACTTTGGTTTTAAAGTACATTTTGCTGTCAAATATAAAAGAGGAGAATAGTAAATAAAGAGAGTAAGAATTTAAAGTGCTTTATTACTGAAAGAGCTTGATCATCATAGGTACTTAAAAAGAATCTCTCTAGTTCATAAATGAATATAAAATCATTAGAACATAAATAATTTTTAATTGACAGTAAATTTTCATGTATTTATCATGTTTGACAGTGTTTAGAAGTATAAGTACATTGTGCAATGATTAAATCTAGCTAATTTACACATATATTAACTCACATAGTTACCATTTTTGTGTTAAGAGCACATAACAACCATTTTTTGCATTTTTCAAGAACATAATATATTGTCATTAAATATAGTCATCATGCTATGTAATAAATACCTTATTCCTCTTAGTTGTGATTATGTATCCTTAGACCAACATATTTATATGTCCCCTCCAATCACTTATCCTTGCCGCAGTCCGGCTGCAGCAAAATAACCAGGGGTAACGAGCAACTTGTGTACATTGATACAGCAGGAGTAGGAGCCGTTTATTGTAGAACAGGAGGGGTATATATACATTACACACAGCTTATCTTAATTAACATAAACTAGATACAGCAGTCAACCAATAAGGAATCTCCACACTTAATGGCTCGCTGGCGTCACTTCACAAACCACTCCCTCTGGCAAAATGCCAGGCTCCATCTTGACTTGTTTACAGACCCTAATACATCCTCTGGCAACCACAATTCTGGTCTCTACTTGTCAGATTAGCTTTTTTTTTTTTTCCCCCCCCAGAAACTACATGAGGGAGATCCTGCATTGTCTTTCTGTGCCTGGCTTATTATGATAACATAATGTCCTCAAGGTCATCCTAACATAATGTCCTCAAGGTCATACATGTTACTGCAAATGATGGCATTTCATTCTTTTTGTTTGTTTGAATAGTATCACATTATGTATATTTATCACATTTTCTTTATCCATTCATCGATTGTTACACATAGGTTAATTCCATATTTTGATTATTGTGAATAGTGTTGCAGTAAACACAGGCATGCACATGTTTCTTCACCATATGGATTTCATTTATTTTGGATATATATCCAATAATGGGATTACTGTTTTTAATATATTAGGAACTTATATACTGTTTTCCATTATGGCTCTGATAATTTATATTCCCACCAACAGTGTGAAAGTTTTTCTTTTCTCCACACCCTTGCCCAGTACTTGTTATTATTAGTCTTTTTGGTAAACTCCATTCTAACTAGAGCAAAGTAGTATCTTGTTGTGGTCTTTATTCACATTTCCATGATCATTAATGATATTGAGCATTTTTTTCATATACTTGGCTTATATGTGTTCTTTGGGAAAYGTCTAATTATGTCTCGCCCATTTGTAAAGTGGGATTTTTTTTGTATTGTTATTGAGTTCCATATGTATTTTAGATATTATCAGATGTATACTTTGCAAAAAAAATTTTGACATTCTGTAGATGCCTCTTCACTGTTGACTGTATAGAAAGCTTTTAGTGTATTCTAAGTCCATTTAACTCATTGCTTGTGTTTTTGAGGTCATATCCAAAAAAATAATTGTCCACCACTAACCAGATCAATGTCTAGAAGCTTTTCCACTGTTTTCTTTTAGTAGTTTCTTAATTTCAGGTATTACATTTAAGTCTTTGATCCATTTTGAATTAATTGTTGTATATATTGAGAGATAAGGGTTTGACATTCTTCTGCATGTGGATATCTGACTTTCCTGGTACCACTATTTTGAAGAGACCGTCCTCTCCCCATCATGTATTCTTGGCATCTTTGTTGAAAACCATTTGGTTGTAAATGCATTAATTTATTTGTGCTATTTTTTTTACCTTGGTCTATGTGTCTGTTTTTATGTCAGTACCATGCTGTTTTGGTTAATATAACTTTGTAATATGTTTTGAAAATCAGGCATTATATGGCCTCTGCCCCCYGCCCTTATGTTGGCTATTTGGGCTATTTTTGAATTTTAGGATTTTTTCCTATCTCTGTGAAGAATATAATAGGTGTTTTGAGGTGGACTTCATTGATATGTCTCTTTGGGTGGTATAAACATTTTAATATTTGTTCTTCTGTGAACATGGAACATCTTTCATTTGTATTTTTTATTCAATATTCTGTAGCTTTCAGAACAGATATCTTTCACCTCCTTTGTTAAATTTACCTTTTTTTCTTTGTTTTTGATAACTTTTGTAAAAAGGATTGCTTTTTTTTCCAGATACTTTGCTATTAGTGTATTGAAATGCTACTGATTTATTATGTTGACTGTTATATCCAATAACTTTACTGAATTTATTTGATCTAACAGATATTTGGTATAGTCCTTAGGGCCTTTTATATATAAATCATTTGCAAATAAGGACAGTTTTTCTTTTTCAATTTAGATACCTTTTATTTCTTTCTCTTGCCTAATAAAATGCCCTAGCCTAGGACCTCCTCTGGTATTTTGAATAAAAGTAGCACAAATGAGCTTCCTTGTCTTTTTCCAGAGTTTAGAGGAAAAGCTCAACTTTTCCATTTGGTATGATGTTAGCTATCTTGTCATTTGACTTTGATTGTRCTGAGGAACATTCCCTCTATATCTAGTTTCTTCAGCATTTTTATCATAAAGGGATATTGAATTTTATCAAGTGTTTTTTATGCATCTGTTGAAAGTTTTTGTTCTTCATTCCACTAGGGTGATATGTTTATATGTTGAATCATTTTGCATTCCTGGAATGATTTCCACTTGATCATGGTGAATGATGTTTATGTACTATTCAATTTGATATTTTGTTGATGTTTACATGTGTGTTCATCAGAGATATGGCCTCTAATTTGTTTGGTTATGCCTTTTCTTATTTTGGTATCAGAGTGATGCTAGTCACTCTTGAGTTTGGAAGAATTCCTTTTCTTTTCCTTTCTATTTTTAGGAACAGTGAGAAGAATTCCTATCCTTTAAATGATTGCTATGATTCAGCAGTGAAACCATCAGTGCTTTYCTTTGGAGACACTCATAATTGGTCTGTTAAGATTTTGTTTCTTCATAATTGCTTTAGTCAGCTTTTTCATCACTGTGACCAAAACACCTGACAAGAGTAAGTAGAGGAAGAAAAGTTTATCTTGGTGGAATCCTCCATGATCCCCTTAATCCTAGTGTCTTGCATTCCTGAAGAACCACACAGTTGATGCCAAGGTCTCCTGCCATCTTGAGCAGTAGTCTCTAAGGACTATGGCTGTAAGCAGCCTGAGTGGCTGAGCAAGGTGAAAATACTAAATACTTCCTAGTCCCACCCCCACCCTGCAAGCAGGGTTCTTGCAGGGTTTCTTCTCAAAATAACTTTTGCATCCTTGAGCCTGACATGGTTGTCATCTTGTCAATTTCTGAGATGTCCTCAGAACATCAGTCTTTCCTGTTGTTTCTGAGTACTTACCAGTGTCTCTTTAATAACCACACCTTCCTTAGCCCCAGTTTTACTCMCACTTCTCTGACCAAGTTTTTCAAATCTTTGCTTTCTCCTCCTAATTATCACAGTAAACTTAGTTAAAAGCTGCCAGTAATATCCATGCCACTGCCTGAATGCTGTGCTGCCTTGAAATTTCCTCAATCAGATTAATTAGTCCATTATTTTAAATTCAGCCTCACAAAAAGTCTCAGAACATGGGCAAAATGTAGACAACTTCTTTAGACTGTAGTTTAATTTCCAGTAGAATCGTTCTCTGAAACCTCATGAGCCCAATCTTTACTCTCCACTGTCCTGTGGGCATTCTAGTCTTATGAAACCCCACCAGATTCACCCATTAAGCTTTGCTTATAACACTAAAGTTTTTCAGTTTGCATCTCCAAACTTTAGCAAATTCCACCCTCCAAGAACTAGCTCCAAATGCTTCCAAACCATGTGACCAGGTTAGTCACATCAATGACCCTACTTCTCAGTACCAATTTCTGTTTTAATCAGTATTTTTGGCTGCTATAACCAAAAGAGCTGACAAGAACAATTTGAGAGAAGGAAAATTTTATTTGGCTGATGGTTTCAGAGGTCTCAGTCCATAGATGGCTGGTCCCGTAGCTCTGGGCCCAAGAAGAGGTTGGACATCATGGCAGAGAGTATGGTGAAGGAAAGCAACTCAGAACATGGCAATTAGGAAGCAGAAAATTCTGCTCACCAYGGACACAATATAAACCCCAAAGGCCCAGTGACCTGTCTCCTCCACCCAGTTAATCCATATCAGAGGATTAAGCCATTATTCCTCTCATAATCCAATTGTTTCATCTCTGAACAATGGGAACACCTCATATCTAAACCATAACAATAATTCAATCATAGTAGGTTGTGTGCATCCATAAATTTATTTCTTGTAACTTATCCAACTTGGTGGCATATAACTGTATTAGTCTCATGATCCTTTTTAATGTCTTTTTCATCTGTTCAACTTTAGTCTTGTTCAAGTTTAGATAACTGTAATCTTTTCCAAAACCAACCTTTTTTTTTCATTAATTTTTTGCACAGGTTGATTATCCATTATCTGAAATGCTTTGGACCAGAATATTTTCATATATAATATCTTGGAGGTGAAACTCTATCCTAAACATGAAATACATTTTATATTCCATATGCACATACCCTGAAGGCAATTTCTTACAGTATTTTTAGCATAACTGTTTTAACTACAACCTGTCACATTAAGTGTTTTTCATTTGTGGCATCAGGTCAGACAAAATGTCTTGGATTTTRGAGGATTGATGATTTCGTATTTTTAGAGTAGGGATATCCAACCTGGCTCATTTTCCTAGTTCCAGTTTCCCTTCTGTCTGATCTTTATTATTTCCTTTCTTGTACTAATTTTGAATTGAGCTTGTTTTTTCCTTGAGGTGCAGTTTTGGTGTTTTGAACTATTTCCTTTCGAAATATGCATTTATTGCTTTGAACTTCCCTTAGAAATGCTTTAGTTTTCATTTTTCCTCTCAAATTCAAAATTTACCTTTTCCTCACTGATTGCTGGTTATTCAAGAGCATATTGTTTAACTTCCATGTATTTGTAAAGTTTCTGAAGTTCCTTCTATTACCAATTTATAGTTTTATACCATTTTGGCTAAAAAAAGATACTTGATGTAATTTTATTAAAATTTGTTTTGTGGACTAATGTGATCTATCCTGAAGAATGTTTTAAGTGCACTTAAAAATACGTATTTTGTTCTTGGATGGAATTTTGTTTTTTAGAAGTGAAACTCACATTCAGTGTTTGATTTTTCTCTCAATTTATCCATTATTGAATGTGGGTCATTGAGGTCCTATACCATCTTTCCCTTCAGATCATTTAATAAAAACTGCTATATGTATTTAGGTGCATACATATTTGACAGTTTCTTATTAATGCTCTTGATATTACATAATGACCTTTTAATCTAGTTTGTGTCTAATGTGTACTTTGACATAACTATCCTAGTTCTCTCTGTATGAAATATGTTTTTGCCATCCCTTTACTTTGTGTACATCCTGAGTCTTACAGGAAGTGTACGGGTGGATTTTGTTATTTATCCATTTAGCTCCTCTTATTTGGAAAATTTAATCCATTAACATTCCAGATGATTATCATCAGCATTTACTACTACTGTTTTGTGATTCTGCTTTGTTGATCTTCCACTCTTAGGGCCTTTTGGCTGAGTAATTTTCTCTAATTGTATGTGTTTTTTTGTTTTGTTTTTTTAAATTAATTTTTTAAAAAATTAATTTATATATGACAGCAGAATGCATTACAATTCTTATTACACTTTTTCCCCCCYAGTGGTGGTACAGGGGATTGAACCCAGGGTCTTGTACATGCTAGGCAAGCACTCTACCAACTGAGCTATATCCCCAGCCTCTAAAGCACAATTTTTCATATCTCTGGTTGTATACAAAGAATATTCACACCAATTTTTGTTTTCATCCATGTAATAATGTCCATCACATTCCATTATCATAATTGTATGATTTGATTCTTTTTATTTTTAGTGTACCACAGGCTTTTGCTTTGTGATTATTAAAGAGACTTGCACATCTTATATTTATAAAACAGGTTATTATGTTAAACTGATAACTTTGATCACATAAAATTGCTGTATATTTCCACTTTATATATTTGATGTCAGATTACATCTTTGTGCCTATATACATCTCAGGCTTAACAAATTAATACTTTTAATTTTGCCAGTAAACCTTCTTCATACTAAACATACGTGATTTATATATTCCACCATTACAGTCCTCATTGGCTCTGGTGGTATTAGGAGCACTTATAGCAGGCCCACTTCAGTAAAACCCAACACTGGGCAGATGTCCCCTTGACTCCTAGTGCCATTTAGGAATTCACAGTCCCTGGAAGACAGACAAGTCTGCAAGCCAGCGCAGCAGCCTTAGATTATGTACAAACCTCCTCAGTAGGCAGACAGACCTCAGTGCCTGTAGGTTTCGGGTGCCAAATATTACACCTGTGGGAAGGATCACTGGAGAGTCCTATTCTACCATTTTCTCCATCTCCCAGGATGTAAAATATTTTTATATTTTTAAGTGCAGTTGTAAAATATCAAAAAGGTCATAAGAAAAAAATTAAAAATGGTCGTAAGAAATAGATTAAAAAATTCTTGCTGCTTTATTTTATACAATATTTCCTTTTTAATTAATAATTACATATGAGAAAAAGTTTTATATCCCCACATCTAATTAGGAAATCTTTGAAGAGACTAATTGAGTAGATCATTCATGAATTGCCCCATTCAAGTGCCTTCATAAATTCTTCTTCAGTGAAAGATAGCATCTTGGCAGCTTCAATGTGCATCTGTTTAAAAAGAAATCAATATTGTCTGACTTAATATTGAGTAGACCTTAGAACAAGGAAAAGTGTGTGGATATCAAAATATAAGTTTGAGAAACATGCATTCTAATGAGCAAAATATTTGAAAAGCCTTTCTTATCCCAACAGTAATACTGAACCAACCTACCATTAAAATTCAATATTGTAAAATACCTTAAAAAAGAAAGTGGGAGTACTATGAACTCCTTTCTTCCCACTACATATTAAGAGCAAGGAACAACAGTGATTTGGAATTAAAGTTCTTTAAGGTTTGAAAAGGAAATGTGATTCTATATTTGGCAAATATTTGTACCAGTCCCATTTTCCATGTAACTAATTTACTTGCATGATACATTATACAAGCTTATGTATAATAGATTTTATTTAGATAAAAATTTGTCTAAGGATACCAAAATAAAACAAAGTAAAACTCTAATACAAAGGTCCAGATAATATCTATAATCCTTCATTGATACTCACCTTCTGCCTTTTTAAAACATCAATTAATTTTAATTGTTTCTTAAACCCTATCATTAATTCTCCTTTTTGTTTTTCTAGCTTCTTGTTTTCTGATTTTAACATTTCAATTTTTTTGTGTTCTTCATTTGCTGTATCCTACAAAAGAAAAATTTCTAGTATGTAATCTTTATATTTCTTATTTCTTTTATTTCACATCAGTAATAAAAATTATTTTTAACTGAAATATACATGTACATAAAATTTTCTTTGTATTACCAAATTACTGGAATTTGATAGCTTTATCATGGTCAGGTCATATTAAAAACTTGTATTGAATGAACTCTAGACAGTTAACAAATATTTGAATCCCAAAAATACATTTYAAGGCATAGATGAGTAATCACTACTAAGCAATCACTACTAAGCAGTATATCTTTAAAGGATATACTGGTTGAAGACCTCATTCACCTAGTTTTTCCTGAATGTACTTAACCAGTTCATGGGTTCACAGGGATAGACCTCAAACAAAAGCAGTAGTCTTGTTGGTCTAACAGTACTGCCAGGATGGTACAAATTTCTATGTGGGAATCCTTTGAAAAGCCCTTGAAATCTGTATACATACATCTTTATGGGATAAGGTTCTTGGGAACCTGTTTAAGGGAACAGGTATAGTCTAAAAACTTAGCAGAGAATTCATGCACTGCTCATAAGGGAGACTACATCATAGTAAAATTGTCTTACACAATGCAAAAGAGAATCAGTGAACATAATCTCTCTGTATTTGAAACACTGAAATGTTTACTCTTTCATATAATAATAAAATGATACCAAAAGGAAATCACTGATAATTTTGCCAGTAAACCTTCTTTATACTAAACATTACATGATTTATATATTCCACCATTATAGTCCTCCTTGGCTGTGGTGGTATTGGGGGCACTAAGAGCAGACCCGCTGCAGATGTCCCAACACTGGTCAGATGTCCCGTTTACTGCAGGCCAGTACACACACCCTAATGCCATTTAGGAACTCATGGTCCCTGCAAGACAGACAAGTCTGCTAGCCAAGGAAATCCAAATCTATTTATGTAAACACATTTTAAAAAGGTAAGAAAAAGTAAAGTGCAGTAGGTATAGGCTTCCCCACCACCACCACCATGGCACTGGGTATTGAAGCTAGGGGCCTTCTACCACTGAGCATCCCTATTTCCCTTTTATTTTGAGACAGGAACTAAGTTGCAGAGGCTGGTTTTGAGTTTTCAAGCCTTCTGTCTCAGCCTGAATTGCTGGGATTACATTACAGGCATGCACAGCCACACCCAGCTATACTTTTCTTTAGGAAAAAAAAACACTCTTTAAAAGTGATATTAGCAAGGGCTGGGTTTGTGGCTCAGTGGTAGAGCACTTGCCTGACATGTGTGAGGCACTGGGTTCGATTTCCAGCACCATATATAAATAAAATAATAAAATAAAAGTCTATCAACAACTAAAAAAAAGAAAAAAGTGATGTTAGAAAGATGGCAGATTAGGAAGCTCCAGGCCTAAGTAGTTTTGTGAGAACTCTGGAAGTCAACTAGGCAGCAATGAAGAAAATGCCTAATCAAGCAAAAGCCACATATAAGATGGGCAGACATCACATGGTATTTGTTTGCCTTTTCCCCACATCCTCCCTGGTACAACCAATTCCCATTTCCTTCTCTGGGATGGAAGGGAAAATAGACTAAGTCAAAACTGTTATAATAAATATTTATGCATCAAGTATCAGAGTGCCTGAATGTATGAAGCAAACATTATAGGAGATTTAAAGAAAGAAACAACTCTACAATAATAGTAGAAAACACAAGTACCTTGCTTTGAATAATAGATATAACCACTAGATAGAAAATGTGCACTTGAGAAAACTACCCATTTTGGGGAAGAGTTTATTCTTCTTTGGTCTAGTTGCTTTGTAGTAGTCAGGTCCCCTGTTTCCTTGTTTATTTTCTGACTACTACAAAGCAACTAGACCAAAGTAGAATAAACTCTTCCCAACAAGTGTTTATTGCACATGGAACATTCAAGTGTTCAAGTGCACATGGAACATTCTCTAGGATAGATTATCATAGACCACAAAAAAAAGTCTTAATAAATTTTAAAATGCTGAATTATTGGAATGAAACTAGAAAAACTGGAAAATCCACAAATTAAGCAACACAATCCTGTATCAGTCAACTTTTCATCACTAAGACCAAATACCTGAGATCAACAATTAATTTGGGCCCATGGTTTTTAGTCCATGGTCACCTGGTCCTGGTGCTTTGGGCACAGTATATAACAGCAGGAGGTACAGGGCAGAGGCAGCCTGTTCACCTCAGTGCAGCCAGGAAGCAACAAGAAGAAAGGGCTAGAGTCCCAATATCCCCTTCAAGGGCCTAACTTCCTTCCATAGGCCATGTCTCCTAAAGGTCCACTAATGCCCATAGATTCATGGGCCACCAACAAGTCTTCAACACATGAGCCTTTGGGGGACATTCAGGATCCAAACTTTATAGCACATTCAAACTACCAGTGGGTCAAAGAAGATATAACTATGGAAATTAGAAAATCAATACATCAAAATGGATAGAGTATAAACATTGCTAATATTAATAATGTAATGCTTATATTAAGAATGGAGAAGATCCCAAACCAACCTAACTTAATAATTAAGRAACCAGAAATACCTCAAAGCTAGCAGAAATGGAGAATAATAAACATGAGAGCAGAAATAAGAGAATAAAAAAATCAAATGAAACAGTTGGTGCTTTGGAAAGATTAACAAATTAATGAACCTTCAGGTAGACTGATGAAGAAAAGATAAAGAGGATTCAAATACCTAAAATCAGAAATGAAAGAGGGGGCAATACAACCAATTTTACAGAAATAGAAAGTATCATAAAAATACTATGAACAGTGTAGCCAACATTTGGATAGCCAAAATGAAATTAAAAATTCTAGAAACTCAGCCTACCAAAACTGAATAATATAAATTCTGAATAGACCTATAATTAGTAAGGATACTRAATGAGTATTAAAAACCTTCTGATAAATAAAAGTCCAGAACTGTCTGGCTTCACTTGTGAATTCTACCAAACATTTAGAGAAGAATTAACACCATCTATCCTTAAATACTTCCCTAGAATTGAACACTTCTGTATTCTACAGAAAACTATAAGCCAATATCCCTGATCAATTTTGATGTAAAAATCCTTTACAGAATAATAGCAAAGTAAAGTTAACAGCTCATTAAAAGAATTATACATGGTGATCAAATAGAATTTATTGCTAGAATGCAAGGATAATTAAACATTCAAAAATCAATGTTAACAWACCATATTAACAGAATGGAGAAACCCCACATTGTCATCTGAATTGATGCCAAAAAAGTATTTGACAAGATTCAAAAGCTCCTGATTAAAAAATTAAAAACCCGGAAAGAAGGAAACTATCTCTACATAACAGAAGGCTATACGTGAAAAGACCACATCTGATATCATACCCAATGGTGAAAAGCCCAAAAGCTATGATCAGGAACAAGAGAAAGGCACCAATTTATGTCCCTTCTGCTTTACATAGTACTATAAGTTGTAACTTGACCAATTAGAACAGAAGAAGAAAGACATCCAAATTGGAAAGGAAGAAGTAACATTGCTGTTCATAAACAACATGTTCTTWTATGTAGAAAACCATAAAAAAAACTATCATAACTAATAGATGAATTCAGTAAAGTCAGAAATGAATTGTTTCTATATACTAACAATGAACATTCCAAAAAAGAAATTTAGAAAACAATTCCATTTAAAATACCATAAAAAAGAATAAAATACTAAGGAATAAACTTTAAAAAGAAGGTAAAAGACTTACATGCTGGAAGAAACTAAAGACAAATACATGGGAAGACATCATGTGTTTATGGATTGAAAGGCTTAATATACTGTTAAGATGTCAGTAGTAACGCAAAGAGATCTACAAATTAAATTCAGTTTTTATCAAAATAACAGTAGTGGTTTTTGTAGAAATAGAAAAATCTTTCTTTACATTCGTAGGACACCTCAAGGAACCCCAAATAGCCAAATTAATCTTGAAAGAGAACAAAGATAAAGGTCTCACATTTCTATTTCAAATCTTACTACAAAGGTACAATATTAGAACAATGTGGTGCTGGCATCAAGACAGACATATGGATCAATAGAATAGAATAAATCTTAGAAACAAACCCTCACATATATGGTCAAGAGATTTAAAAAAAAAAAAAGAAGATGGGAAAAGATAGTCTCTTTAACAGAGTGGTGCTGGGGAACTGAATATGCACATGCAAAAGAATTCTTTCCTGATCTCATACTATGCAAAAATTAACACAAGTGAATCAAAGACTTAAGAATAAGAGCTAATGCTATAAAACTCTTAGGAACCCAGGAGGAAAAGATCATAACATGGGATGTGGCAAGGATTTCTTAGCTATGTGACATTAAAAGTATAATGATACTTTCATTAAATTCTTATATATTTCTCGGGGGCTGGGGATGTGGCTCAAGCGGTAGCACGCTCGCCTGGCATGCGTGCGGCCYGGGTTCDATCCTCAGCACCACATACCAACAAAGATGTTGTGTCCGCCGAGAACTAAAAAATAAATATTAAAAATTCTCTCTCTCTCTCTCTCTCTCTCTCTCCTCTCTCACTCTCTCTTGAAAAAAAAATTCTTATATATTTCTCTAAAGAATACATATGAAGGACTAAAAAGCACATGAAAAGATGTTCCGCATCTTTTAATTAATAATTAGGAAAATTAAAATCAAAACCACAATGAAATAAAGCCTCAATCCCATTAGGATGACTACTATTGAAAAAAAGAAAAAAAAAGTAGATGATAGGAAGTATTGGAAAGGATCTGGGGAAATTGGGAAATTTGTACACTCTAAGTGGGAATGTAAAATGATACAGCTGCTATCAAAAACAATAGCAGTTCCTAAAAAAATTCAAAAATAATTTTCTCTGATCCTGTAATTCCACTTAAGAGAATTGAAAGCAGTTTCAGATATTTGTAGACCTTGTTCATAGCAGTACTATTGAGGACAGCCAAAAAGTTGGACACAACCCAAGTATTCATTGACACATGAACACACAAAATATGATATTATA